TGGTGGAGGGATGGGTATCTGATCATTGTATAATTGAAACCAAAGCACAAAAAATTGTAAATCTACAACTTTAAAAAAAATAAAATAAAATAAAGGGAAAAAAAAAGAAATGTAGTTCTTACCTTCATAAAATCTATATATTCACTCATTAGGCCACTGATTAGGTCGATGAGTAAAGAGAATTGAAATAATTCTGGTGCAGAATTATTCCTTTTGTTGATGAAGTAACTCAAGATTGCTCAGCATTAAATGGTATAAGAAATGAATAAAATAATAACTTTTATTTATTCATGGAAGAGCCTGGCAAGCTACCTGTGGCATATTCAATATGCCAAGAAGAGTAACAATAACGGGTCTCATTCCCCTGACCCTGAAGGAACCTCCAATACAGCAGCATTGGGAAAGATTGCTAAAATTTCAGGGCTGGGATGAATGGAGATGTTACTGGCGTGCGTTCGAGTAAATCAATGAACAGCGGGATAACAGTGATACAGTAATATGTAGATTCACTTACCTTGAACTTCTAGCTCAAGTTTTCTTTCTAGAGTAATAAATAAAATCATTAATAATTTCACAATTATTTGTCTATTCTTATACATATGTTGGGCTGGAGCGATAGCACAGCGGTAGGGCATTCGCCTTACAAGCGGCCAACATGGCCGACCCGAGTTCGATTCCTCTGCCCCTCTCGGAGAGCCCGGCAAGCTGCCGAGAGTATTCGATATGCCAGAGACAGTAACAACAAAGTCTCCAATGGAGACGTTACTGGGCCCGCTCGAGCAAATCGATGATCAACAGGAGGGCCTTTACCTTTTACCTTTACCTATACATATGCTAGAAGCCAAATATTGTTAATGGTCTCTATAATTATGCTGAAATACTAGTGCCCAGAGATATGTGGCAATTGAGGAAGAAGTCAATTAGGTCAGAGCTGTCTATACAAACCAAGATATAAAGTCCTCATTGAGAAGGAAGGAACCAATATAGTCAATTTTCCAGTCCTTTCCTGGTTAAAAACCTTGATACACGGCACCCAACTCTTTTGGCATATTTAGAAAATATTATTGCGTTAACCAGAACTCTATATATCTCAAGAGAAATTGAGCATTCTTGCAATATGCCATCCCATTCAAGTACAACAGTGGCTCTTCCTATGTACAATCGACTGAGTCTAATGGTAGAACTTGTACCCAAGTTAAGGCATAAGCTTCCTGACTGCCAAAGAATTTCTCAGACTTTCTCAGAGAAGCCAATAATTTCTCCACATATTCATTCATGATAATAGTTATGCGCCAACATTTACAGGATTTCCATTGTTCAACAGACACAATTTATCTCTTTAGAACACATCAACTGTTAGTGAAAGGGTAATTTGTCTGTCTTGAACTTAAGCCGTTAGCTTCTGTGGTTCTGTCTCCATCTAGATAGTATCAGTGTTGGGCTGAATAGTCATTGGAGTCCATGAGGGTGGGTGAGTAAGGGGGGAGTTGACCAACTGTACACTGGAATTTCCCTCATTTTCTCTTAATCTAGATGCAAGAACCAATACCAAAATCGGATCATAATCTCTTGGGAACCTTCATGATCTGCAGGCCAGGTAGTGGAGAAAGTGATTTTGTGAGCAGGATGCTTCTCAGCTGGAAATAGGCAAATATGCTTCCATGATGTAAGTGTGGACTTTTGAACCATGGCAGAGGTGGATGAATGGAAAATATTCTCAAAAAAAGCCCTTGTTAGGGCAGAAAGGGCTTCCTGATGACATTTTATTCTTTTATGACACGTTTTCTGGGGAAGCATTGTGGTCTCTCTTAAAGCTTGACAGGGTATATCCAATTTCTGTCTTTTCCTGAGCTGGGAACTAAGTTCTGGGGTCCTTCCTGTTATCTCTGCTACAGTGCTTCACCCATATGTATCTTCAGTCATGCATGCATCAAACTCAATGCAGTGACCACTGAGCTCTTTACTGACATTTTTACCTTTTCAACTGCAGTGTAAAGTCTGATGTGTATGTCCTTTCTAAAGGAAGTGGTAAGTGACAGAGACACTATAGTAGGAGATAGTGACTTCCCAAGCCCACTTAATCACTTAACTTCCCTTTAGTGGTCGATTTGCTCGAGCGGGCGCCAGTAACGACTCCATTTGTCCCTGTCGCGTGCTAGTGTAGCCCAATGGCATCTGTTCGCTCTGGGAACATGAAGAGCCTCAAACCGATCGTTCATGATCTTGACGAAGAAGTCTGACCATCTGGTAGGTGGGCGGCCACACGGTCTTTTGACATCCCATGGAATCCAGTCAGTATCAGCTCTAGTCCAGCGGTCGTCTTTAAATCTCATTACGTGACCAGCCCATCTGATTTTTGACACCTTGGCAAACGAGACAGCGTCCCTGATTCTTGATCGTCAATGGATGTCAGAACTCCGGATTCTTTCTCTCATTTGAATGAAATGTGATATTCCAAGCATAGCTCTTTCTTTTCTTTCTATTCTTCTTTGGGAGACCTGAATAGCATTCTCATCTTGTTTGCGTAGGGCCCAGGTCTCTGAGGCATATGTTAATGCAGGAAGAACAGTGGAATCAAAGAGATGTGCCCGGAGCCAGAGGTTCTTCGTCCTCTTAGCTATTTCTTCGATGCTCTTGAAGGCGTTCCAAGCCGCTCTCTTCCTCCTGCGCAGCTCGGGTGCCAGGTCATTTGTCATGTTGACCTCTCGACCTAGGTACACATAGCTGTTGCATTTGGAGATGGTCGTTCTGTTGAGAGCGAATGGGGCGTCAGGAACGAGGCTATTTCTCATAAACATTGTCTTCGTAAGATTCAGCTGTAGTCCTACCTTTCCACACTCTCGGTCAAAGTCGGCCAGCATTTGTGCCGCTTGGCTGATGTTTGGTGTTATTAAAACAATGTCATCAGCAAAGCAGAGGTGGTGTAGTTGCCGACCATCTATCTTCACTCCCATTCCTTCCCATTCCAGTCGTCGCATGATGTTCTCGAGGGTGACACTGAAGAGTTTCGGTGAAATAGTATCACCCTGCCGCACCCCTCTCTTGACATCAACGATCACTTCTTTGTAGAATGGTGAGATCCTGGTAGTGAATCCGCAATACAGCTCACGGAGGATCCTGATGTATTGGGCTTGAATGCCCTGATTGGCTAGGGCTTCAATGACCACTTCCGTCCCAACAGAATCAAAGGCCTTCTTTAAATCAATGAACGTTAAACAGAGCGGCATCTTGAACTCCCGAGAAACCTCAATGAGCTTGGTTATCGTGTGGATATGGTCGATGGTGCTGAATCCTTTGCGGAACCCGGCTTGCTCGCATGGTTGCTCCCAAGCCCACAGATCTCTAAAAAAATACGTGTAATATTCAAATACCAAGAACATCCTATGGAGCAGCTTGGCTTAACTGACCCTATAAAAGCAGAAATTTCACAATGATTTCTGGGCCTTGTATTTTCTGTGAGTTTGCCTTCCACGCTCTCACTGGTAGATGTTTCAACAAAGTCAAAAGAGCCAACATACAGCAAAAGCAAGTCATCATATGTCAACATTATATTATCTATATAATGGACCCATCTTACTGTTGTGGGGAAGGACAATAAGGACAGGTCTCAGGCACTACGCAGGAATAATATGTTACTGTTCAGCTACAGCCTTAGAGAAACCCTTGACAGATCCTTAACTTTGCTCCCATGGGATATGAATGCAGACTGATCTTGGGACTCACTGGCCAGAGGTAGACTGAAATGAGCCCTTTTAAAGTCCACCACAACATTCTATATTCCTCGAGCCTGGTCAAAGTATTTAAAGTAATGGCAACATTGAGCATAGTTGGGTGAATGTTTGCCACACCTTGGTCATTTCTGAGTAGTCTCACTAGTCCATGGCTGTCTACCATGATCCAGATGATGCTTTGTTGTTGCTCATTTCCCGTACTGGCTGTTGAAAAAACTACAAGCAGGGTGTACAAACCCACTTGGTTTAACTCTTGGATAGTTTCTTCTATTTCCTTATTCACAACTCTCCCCCTGAAACAATCTACTGTTGGACAGTCATCACACCTTCAGCTGGGCAGTACATTTACTGACTCCTTGTTGATTTATGCTCTCAGTACTAGTTTGACTAAACTAGGTTCAGATAGTGATACAGGTTTGCAGAGTTTGACTTTGTGTATTCGTCAATATGATGTTTAATGGAATTAAAGAACTAGAAACCTCTTAGAGAAAAATGGTCATTTGGCAGTGCCAAAAGAAGCTCCCTAATTATAATCACTGGTTCTTTGTACCCTTGAATGACATTAAAGTTTACTTTGATTCAAAAAGCATGACACCACTATTGCTCAAAACAACCTTATTTTATTTCTTGGACAGATTGTCCCTAATACCTTGTCAACTGGAGGTGGTCTGGTACTGGTTCAATATCTTGGGCATCAGAGATATCAAAGTATCTCTCAATCTGTGAAGTCTCTGTAAGAGCAGGTAGGCCACTGAGGGTGTTAGGGGTAAGTGAGGCAGGTCTGAAATACTGTTTAGTTTTGAAATTTTCCAGTAGTCCATGTTACCCAACTTTCATTTTGGTCACGGTCACGGTCCTCCCGTTGATCATCGATTTTCTCGAGCAGGCCCAGTAACGTCTCCATTGTGAGACTTTGTTGTTACTGTGTTTGGCATATCGAATACGTCACGGGGAGTTTGCCAGGCTCTGCCGTGCAGATGAGATACTCTCAGCAGCTTGCCAGGCTCTCCAAGAGGGGCGGAGGAATCGAACTCGGGTCGGCCATGTTGGCTGAGTGCAAGGCAAACGCCCTACCCGCTGTGCTATCGCTCCAGCCCATATCATTTTGGTCTATCTTGAATTTTTGAGGTCCTTCTTTGTTTGGGATCTCTCTAACTGCTTGTACATACTCCATGGATTTGTCAGATTCTCCTAAATAAAAAATCATGTGCTTCGCATACTAAAAACTTTTGTCACACTCCTGAAATCTTGGTTTTAGAGACTCACACATCATAAGGTAGAATAATCCTTACCTGTTCTTCCATTCAGAGGTCAGATGGAACATGATGATTGGAGTTCAAATGATTCCTGATTAACGACTCTGCATGATTAGGGCTTGCAGCACCCTAATTGCTCCTTGATGATTTTAATTTAAAAAAATTAAAACCTTATACCAATGACTGAAGGTAAAACAGAAAATTCTTGACTTTTAATAAGTAGTAATTGTGGTCCCAGCTGAGGTGTCAAAACATGGTACAGTTGGTCTGACTCATTCCCAGATTCTGTCTTAAGGATTTGGCATCTCCTTGGGATTTGGGCTCAGGGTCCCACATGCCTAAAATAGATTCCCTTATTCAGTTGAGCCTTTCAGCAGAATTGAGTACTGCATTAATATGTAATCAATAAGTGAGCAAATCACTTGACCCCCTGAAGTCACTCAGGCACTGACCACAAAGAGGGTGTATGGTGGTGTAGCTCACTTTCTTTGTCTCCTGCATAATCATAGAAATGACATTGCAGTTCTCCCTCCCCTAACTCATTGTTGCACTAAACATAGTTGGATATGATTTCTGACATTTTTCTGGAACTTGTAAGTTAAGAAAATAAACTCAGAGCGCATATATTGTCTCATCACGCATCATTTTTTGAACTGGGACTGGCTCACTAGCTAGTGCTATAGCTGCTTAGATTTTGCTGTAGGAGTCAGATATCACAGAACATTTTATCCATGTATCACCTCCAAATCATTGTCATTCTCTTCATATTTCTGGGTGTTTTATCTCTTAGTATCCCAGTTAAGTGTTTGACACAATAACTTGTACCTTAATATGCAGCAACTCCTACTCTCTCTGCTTTGCAAAAGAGGAAACTAAAGTCTCCATCTTCTCTTGCTAGCCCTGATGCTAGAAGAGCAGCGTGCACTCATGCATTTTTCATTATGTCTGTTCTTCGTCCAACTTTCTAACTGGGAATCAGAGGACACTAGTTAGGTAGCAGAAGCCAACTAAATACCAATAATTATTCAACCATTCACTTTCATTTTCTACCATGGTACATAATGATTAACTCCTCAGATGAACATGTTGGATGAGCCACCACTTGGGGATCTTCACATGCTTACACACAGGTTCACTGCATCTAACATATGGGCTATGTCCACACTGAGTTTAATGACTAACTTAGGGTACCTTTCACTCTTCCCTCCTTATCTTTTCAACTTCTTGACAGCAGTTTGTCCATTGTTGGTTTAAAAGCGTGGTAGTTCGATAGGTGAAATGTGAAACTTGGCCCTATACACAGAATTCAGAGTGAGACTAAAGATAGAGGAACACTACTTCCCCTATCTTTAGTAATACTAGTGATGATAATACTAGAATGAGAGTTTTAATAGACAGGCTGTGTGCATGCACACACACACACACACACACCTTAAAATAAAACAAAACAAGCAAAATGCACATAAGAGGTTTATCTAATAGGTCCACAGAAATAGTACAGTGGTTAAGACACACCCTATGCATATGGTTGATGCAGTTAGATCCCTGGCACTGTGTTGTACCCTAGAACAATATCAAGAATCACTCCCCAAGGATCACATGTATAACCCAAATCTATCCCTCTCAAAAATATATATATATATAAAGAGGCTTCTCTTTAGTGGTCCCAGCAAGCAAACATATCTTCATATTTGCATGCAAGACTTAACAATTTATAGATTTAAATAAATTCAGCACATTTGTAGTTCAGATGGTATCAATTACACATTACTGTCTCAAGACTTCAGCCTTAATGTTATTTCTAGAGTAGGACCAGTGTTTGGACACACATTTGGAAGTTTGTGGGAAAAAGGGCTGAAGTGGAATATGAACCTACAATTGTTTTAGTGCAGATCCAGGCCAATCAGTGGCCAAGCCTTTTCATGACTTCCTCAACAGATAATTCATTAAAAATGATATACTAATGGGAAGTACATGAACACATTTTAATATCATTAAAAATTAGAATATTATAAATAAAACCCTAATATTATATACCCATATGCCTACCATAATACAGTATTGAAAATATCAAATGTTAGCAGTGATGAAGGAAAGTTAAACCCTACAGGTATCGCTGAATGGCACATAAAATGGTTCAGGACTTTTAGTGGAAATTTTGTCAGCTTTTTAAAAAATCTAGTTATGCAACTAACTGAAGCTCTATCACTGAGAAATAAAGACAATGTGCACACAAAAACCTGTATACACATTTTTAGAGCATATTTCTTCAAATAAATCATATATGATGTACTTCAATAGATAAATAACGTTTTATATACAAGTATAAACTATCAATCAACAATAAAACAATACACCAGACTATTGACATATTCAACACTTTGGATCAATCCTCACAATATTATGCTGAGCAGACAGTCAATCCTAAAAGATATTCAACTATTTATTTCTCTTACTCCTTCTCCTCCCACTTCCTCCTCCTTCTTCCCCTTTGGTACTTAGGGCTTATTCCTGAATCTGCACTCAGAGATCACTCCTGGAAGGACTCCAGGGATTATACAAGGTGTCAGGGATTAAACCCAGGTCAGTAGCATGAAAAGCAAGAACCCTGTCCACTGTATTCTGTATTATCTCTCCAGCCCCTTAAAATATACATTCCATGTACCTGACATTCTTAAAATGACATATGATAGAAATGGATAAAAACTTAGTAGTTTCCAGGGTTAAGGAGGGCATAAAATCAGAAGATAAGTGGGCAAGGCTGCAAAAAGACAATCTAAGGGGTTCTTCTAGGAAGGGAGTAATTCTGAACTTTCATTGCATCAATAGCAATTGCATGCCTTGTTTATATCTTGCTATTATTGTCTATCCAGATTTTGCTTTTGTGGGAAAGTGAGCAAAGCTTTTGCAAGGTGTATCCATATTATTTCTTAAAATTGAATGGGAATCTTTAATTACTTCAAAATTTAAAATAAGAAGAACAGAAATAGAACCAACATCCCCATCACAGGACACTGCAGTCTAGGTTTATCCCAGATGGCATCAGTGTGGAATGGTGCTGATAATTTGTTACTACAGAAAAATACACTGAGCAAAAGAAGAAAATGAAGTCAGCTTTCAGTAAAGTAGTTGTGTATTTGGCACACAACAGCCCTGCAGGCATAGGCATTATGTGAGTACAATGGACTTTTTTTTCTGAAGCTGCATCCTACTAGAATGTCTCTCCTGGTAAGAGGGGAATGGAGTTAAAATTAGTCCCTGTGACCAAACAAAAAATCCTCTTGATTCTCAATACAAAAATTGTAAGCCAAACAGAAAGAGGAATCCTCTCGATCTAAGAAAATAGTCAGTCAAGAAGTGCTGCAAGGGCCTGGAGCAATAGCACAGTGGGTAGGGCATTTACCTTGCACACGGCCGACAATGATACTCTACAGACCAGATCAATGGTTCAGTGAAAGATCTGAGGATGAGGTGCTACTCAGATGCTTACATCTCAGGGATCATCCAGGTCACCCTGGAAGTGCTCAGAGACTATGTATATGGTTCCGGGAATCATACCACAGGTTGGCCATGTGCAAGGCATTCACCTAAACCCCTGTAGTATCATTCTTTCTCCTGTCAGACCTCCTAACCCCCATCAATTACCATCATCACATTTACACTGCAGATATCTCAATGGAATCTGTACATTGATGTTGTTATTTTAAGGGCCTTGTTCAAAAGTCTAATTTTCCTCATCTATAAAATATCTAATCTGAAAATATCACTTAATGTATTGGAAAAGTGGGAAAGGTGCACAAATCCCCTATCACAATCATTTGCAAGTTCTTAGCAAATCAGAACTTTCAATACAGATTATTTTGTATCATACCATACTTAGTGTTTTGAGATATTCTCTGTGCATATTAACTGTACAATTAGCAGTGACAAGGATGATATATGATGAGGTATTATATGTATCTTTTAAACATGTATTATTTTAATTGTAACCTCATATACTAATTAAAGAATAAAAATGTATTACTCATTAAAATAGACATGCCTACTCTGTTTGCTTATCATATTCTAAGTGGCAACTGACCTTTAGGGAAAAGACATGCATTTTTTAGTAAACAGCTTTTCAGCAATTCAACTGCTTGCATTCAGTTATAAGAGATGACACTTACGGTGTTCATCAGTTGCTATCATAGTCATGAATTAGGCATTGAATATCACCTGTGAATATCTTTGGAGGTTTCTTTATAATTGTTTTTTCTTTTTTATATAAATGAGAAAGAGATAGCCAGCATTTGAAATTTTTGTTAAATTATTATCAAAGTAACTAATACATGGGTTTAGAGAGATAGTACAAGTGTTCAGGCACTAGTCTTGCATATGGCCAACCTGAGTTCAATCTCCAGCATGGTCCCCTGAGCAGCATCAAAGGTGATCCTTGGGCACAAAGCCAAGAATAGGCCCGAGCACAGTTAGCTGTGGTCCAAAAACAAAAACCAAAGCACATATAAAAACAAAAGTTTAAATAAAACAGAGCAGGATAAATAAGAAGAAATGCTTTCTTCCCGTCTGACTCACAAGCTTCAACTCTGAAAAATAAATGGTTTGGGCTGTTTTTATTTTTATTTATAAACTTTTATTTTGGCTTTTATAATAATGGTACAATAATGTTCAGGATCCAGGTGTTGATGTTCAAAGTTACTGTACACCTTTGCCACTGAAGTACTTGTGGACCTCGCAGCATCTTCAGTCCCGTGTCCCTTTTCTCTCCTTCCTCCTCCCATTATTTGTTGATTGAAGGTTACAGTTTTATACTTTTATATTAGCTAGAATTCCCACACTAACTCCCCTCAAACCTGGCACTCTCAAGTCTGTGTTCTAGTGCCCAAGGTTTATTATCAAGTAATATGGACCATGGGCTGGAGCGATAGCACAGCGGGTAGGGCGTTCGCCTTACACGCGGCCAACATGGCCGACCCGAGTTCGATTCCTCCGCCCCTCTCGGAGAGCCCGGCAAGCTACTGAGAGTATTCTATATGCCAGACACAGTAACAACAAAGTCTCCAATGGAGACGTTACTGGGCCCGCTCGAGCAAATCGACGATCAACGGGAGGGCCTTTACCTTTTACCTTTAATATGGACCATACACTTGA